GGAGTAGAATTTCTAGCCTGCTGCAAATACTCAAAGAATGCAAATAAGGAGATATCAGGGAGAATATGTGTCTAAAAATTGCACACAACTACTCAAAAACTTTATTCCTCCGATTATATTAACCTACCCATTTGTGAGGAACCAATTATTGAACCAGATGTCTAATGAAAACATGTAACCAGAGCCACGCGGAAGACGGTGAAAAAAATTTCCTGCTCAAGACATTCATGTTCCTCCGCTAGCGAGAGCCGCCTGCGTACGTACTCACAGTAAAATCCTGCATTTGCTTCTCAAAGCCACCAGCAACGACGTGTTGTCACGCAGAAACACTCGTGTAACTGATATTCCCTTAGCGAAAAGGAATCGCTGCGCGAGCGCACGCCACCACCGCGTCACCTGAGCGCGTATCCTCCGTCCCTGCAAAGTCACTGCACAGCCCAGAGCTGCTCACTCCATAACCAGAGCAAGGAAAACACCCAGGGAAACGTGCAAAAAGCTCTTTTTGATTCTCTTTCTCCAAAAAGCCATCAGCTTGCCTGGGAAGGAAGAAGTTTCTCCCTTTTTTCCCCTAGTTTGAACCCTGCTGGTTTTAGACTTTCAAATCGCATCTCCAAAGAGTAACAACAGCCCTAGAGATTTTTTCAATTATTCTGGAAGCATATTTTCTTGAAAATTGTCAGCTTTATAACCTACAATTGCTGGATTCTCTCTCTCCAGGATGACATACTATCAAGTTAGTTACAGGCAAATTAACACAGCTGACAAAGAGGAAAAAAAAAAAAGGAAAACACACGAGGAAGAGTTACAGATGATTCAGGATTCAGCGTTTCTTTGAAAAGACAAGCAAAGCAATGAATTAATAGCTACTGTGAATACATGAATAAACCGCAAGTTAGTAGACAGACAGACAAATAGACAGGAGGCTTGAGCTGTGACAGCAAAAGTGGTTACTGATGCCATCTCCTCCCTGTGCAGCCACTCCTTGAGCACCAACCTCCTCACCCAGCCGGAG